CCAGTCTAGTTCTCAGATATGCACAGAGATGATAGCAAGAAAAAAATTCTGGGCTGGACGCGGTGGCTCAAGCCTGTAATCCCAGCACTTTGGGAGGCCAAGGCGGGTGGATCACGAGGTCAAGAGATCGAGACCATCCTGGTCAACATGGTGAAACCCCGTCTCTACTCAAAATACAAAAAATTAGCTGGGCATGGTGGCGCGCGCCTGTAATCCCAGCTACTCGGCAGGCTGAGGCAGGAGAATTGCCTGAACCCAGGAGGCGGAGGTTGCGGTGAGCCGAGATCGCACCATTGCACTCCAGCTGGGGTAACAAGAGCGAAACTCCGTCTCAAAAAAAAAAAAAAAAGAAAAGAAAAAGAAAAAACTTCTGACTTGAGGAGTTTACAGTCTCACAAAGTAACCCTGTAGGCTAAAAAGGGCATCCTTGAGACAGTGGGGAAATTGGAATATGAGCTGTAGATGCAATAATGGTATTGTAGCCATGTTCAGCTTCCCCAGGGTGAAAATGGGGCTGCAGTTATGTACAAGAAGGTCCTTGTTTGTTGGAAATGTATGTTGAAGTATTTAAGGAAGAAGTATCTGGAAGTCTGCAAACTCTCAAAGGTTCAACTATATATATATGAATATATATGTACGGGATAATTATATTAATGATCTTATGTGTTATACATATCTAATTATATATATACTGCATATGCAAAATTAGATAAATGCATTATTAGAGTGGCTTTGTACACAAATTGGCAAAATGTTAACTGGTGAAAATGGACCACATCTCTGATTTTTCAGTTGAAATTTTTCAAAAGAAAAAATAATTCTAGCCCTCAGCCAGAGCTGGGAAACTTCCAGTCAGCCAAAGCTCCCTGCCGGCCAGAAGAGCCTCTCTCCCCTCTCCCCTCCAGGCTCCTCCCTCCCTGTTCCTCCGCCAGCTCCTCTCCTCTGAAACAAAGGAAAGGTCCAGCTAATTGAATTTGCCTTTTAAAGACGACATGCTGGCCAGCCACGGTGGCTTGAGCCTGTAATCCCAGCACTTTGGGAGGCTGAGGCAGGTGGATCATTAGGTCAGAAGTTCGAGACCAGCCTGGCTAACACAGTGAAATCCCGTCTCTACTAAAAATACAAAAATTAGCTGGGTGTGGTGGTGCATGCCTGTAATCCCAGCTACTTGGGAGGCTGAGGCAGGAGAATTGCTTGAACCTGTGAGGTGGAGGTTGCAGTGAGCCGAGATCGTGCCACTGCATGCACTCCTGCCTGGGCAGCAGAGCAAGACTCCATCTCACAAAAAAAAAAAAAAAGATGACGTGCCCACCATTAGGGAGAGAGGAGAAGAGAGCAAAAGTACAAGAGACTTATGTTCTAGGCCTGGCTTTGTCCTCAGGACGTGCCCCTGTCCTTCTGGGTCTCCCTCTCTCTAATTCTTGGCCCCTTAGTTAGAATAAAAAGTTCCCTTAAAGAAAACAAATCAGCTTATTTTATTCAACAGTTCAGTAACAAAGGAAATGAAATGCTCTTTTTTCCTGGGATATACACAGAAAGATCACACCAAAACCCAAGATGGCAAAGGCCCACACACTTGCTCCCTCCCGGCCTCCCACCGGCTGCTCACCCAGCCTAGGGCTCTGGGCTCTCCCGAAGCACACAACAGGCTTGCCGTGTCCCCAACTTGGCTGAGAAGCACTTGCCCAGATCACCACCTGGCCTGGTCACATCCCCTCCTGTCACCTCTACCCTCCCTACCTTAAAGAATGACTGAAAGACTGGACCTCACCATCCCAGGAGACCCCACTACTGCATCTGTCAGTGCCTGAAGGCCCTGGGACACTGCCTCTGTGTCTCACATCACTGGGGTGCTTCTCTCCTTTTGCAGTCCAGGGGCTTCTGGGGTTAATGGAGGTCCGTCCAGTCCTGGGTGCTAAAGAGCCTGAGGCTTAAATCCCATTCACAAATACCCTTGCTTCAGGTTTGGGATGGAAGCAGGGAGCTGCTGCCAGGTTCCACGGGGGCCAAAGGAAAGAGGAAATAATAATAAGGCAGTCAGACTGCCTTACACCCGCTTTATCACTACTCAGTTTGTCACCTCATTAGACACAGGGCTGGGAAAACACTCGCTCCCATTTAAAAGCGTGTTGCTGACATTCAATAAATGAGCATTCATCTTCCCAGTCACCCAGAGCGACCAAAAGTCAGGTTGAAGGAGACAGCTCCTGCAGAGACGGTGCCACAGACCAACATTTCTGAATGTGGGCCCAAGTCAGCACAGTGAGCTCCACCTGGAAATTCGGGGCTGTGTTGGCCGACAGTGGAGCCATGCTCACCCTAGAAGAGCAATTTGCCTCTCTGCTCAGGGAAGATCATTGATGCCAGGTTTCTGTGACAGGCTAGCTTCATCTGTTTTCCACCTGGGTCCCTCCTAGAAAGATGGCAGTTTTCCTTCCTTGGAATGTCATTTGCCCAGGTAAGCCCAGAAACGAAGCCCCTGTAAGATCAGGGGAGTCTGCCTCCCTTGCCCCAAGTGCGGAGAAACGGGCGCTTTTATGAGATGTTTCGCTCCACACCCAGATCTGTTCCTTGGAACACCACAAACCTCAGGGGAGTAGAGGCGGCTGTCGGCAGCCCAGGGACTGGACCGGGAAATCGGTGCAGCCCAAATTTGGGCTGCCTGGGGCCATTTCTACCGCACCACACCCAGGGCGTCTTGCAAAGGGCATTTGGGCAGCTGGGAATGGGGTTATTGGGCCCCTGTTGGTTGGGTGGGGTTAATCTGCAGGCTTAATTTACATGTGTGCAAAGCTTCCAGAGTGTGCCAAGCCTCTGCCTTAGAGTGAAACCCGAGGAGACCCCCAGGAGACCCTGCTTTGAAGGTGATATCTGGGTAGAGAGTACCAGCTCTCAGGCATTTTTGCACCATCATTTCAACTCCTGCTTTCTTAAAGCGGAGAGGTTAGGGTCACAGTTGCAGGGTGAGTTGGAGGGGACGTGGACATCGTGTTAGGCAGGCCTCCCCACAGCCCCTGATTTAGAGCTGACAACCGCGAGGAGCTGACGTGTTACTGGGAATAACTAAGGTATTGAGTTACCTTCTCAACAACAACCAAAAATAACTGTACAGTTTTTGCTCTGGCTGTCTGGGCATCTTCAGAAAAAGTCAAGTCATGACCATATCCTGTTGATTCATGAAGCCAAGTTAAAATTAATCTTCTTCAGGAAGCCCTGGCTTCTATGTTCTCTCCAATTACACCATTCATTAACAAGTAGGAAGGAGAAGGAGCTGCCATGTACAGGCTTAATTTCTGGAGTTACCTGTGTTTCTGTTTGGCAGGGGACATCCAGGGTGTCTGTGAAGCAAACGTGCTATAGAAAAGAGCCTGCTCCAGGCTCCTACGCCCCTCTCCAGCCAGGCATCCCCATTCCTCTGGCACCTCACCCATTTGCGACACTCTTCAACATGCCTCTCCGAGTTTCATCAAAATGCTCAGACGACTCTACACATCCCCCAAGAGGAATTTCTGAGGTCTTTCGGATTCCATTAAAACATCAACATTATTCCCTCTACCCCACTCCTAGTATATCTATTTCTCAAACAACAAGATCGAAAACAAATGGATTTGATTATCTGTGCTGGTGGTTACATCTCTGAAAGGTCTTAGATGGATCACCAGAGTGTTGAGAGGACTTTTTATTAATTGTGAAGCAGTTTCAATCTGTTCTATAGTGGGAAAAAGAAAGAAAGAAAAGAGAAAAACCCATGCCCCAAATGGCTTGCTCAGTTTGCACAAACCTAGTAAGAACCTGCCTCTCATCCATGCTGGATAGGTCACCGCCACCCCAGAGTGTGTGGCAGGAAAACCCAAACCTTCGGGTCTCAATGGTTCCACACAGAAGCAAGTCACGGGACAGAGTCAAAGCTGTGTGCTCCCTATGCTCCTAAAAACCCAACACTGACGCTGCCCACAGTTCTGTTTCATTAAACACAAGTCCCAATGACTCCTTCTTAAGACAGTTTTCCTATGTCACTGAAGGCAAAACACATTAAATATTTGATCTCATCTTCCTATGATGAGAGTTAGCTAGCAGGTTCATAAATAATCCATTGACCTGGTTCACTTTTCTGGACAAAATTGATCGTAAAAACATATACACAAAGTCTTTATAATGTCTGATTCAGAAATTCTACCCCTTTTCAAATTCTTTAGAGTCCCAAACGGAAAAGGTACAATTCAACATGGAAAAGCCCCAGTTCAAAAGAAAATTTACTCCTTAGCCCAAGACCCAAATCCAGTCTTGAGCTCCAGAGAGCATTTTTTTTTTTTGTTCAAAAATAAATCTGAATGTACACAATTTTCAAGCAAATGATGATCAAAGCCTTCAACCACGGAGCACAGTCGCTGGAGTTGGAGTTTCACATAAATTCTGAATGGCCCGTGGTGTCTGAGCGCTCCTCTGCTCTGACAGTGAAACCACCCAAGCCACAGAGACTTGGCCCACTTAAGCGCCACTCATTGATTTCTCTAGCTATCTGGGCATTTGTGTCAACCAGAACTCTCCCTTTGCATAAAGCCACAGGCACGCGATGTCAGCAAAGTAAAGATTAAACATAAACCAAGGGTTGAAACGAAAGCAACTCTTCCCAAAGTGCAGGACAGCATTTTGCTCAATACCCTGTTTAAGACCTCTTTCGCGGGTCCTCAAGAGGTTGCAAAGCCCCTCTAACAACAGACAAAGGAGCCCCCCACGCCCGCCCCCCAAGGCCCCCTCGTGCATTCCACGCTCCTTGTCCCCCGCCCCACCCTGGCCCGTCCGCTTCAGCTCTGGCTCTTGCTGAGCGTGGAGGTCGTATGGGGTAGGATCCGGCGCCCACCCCTGGGATGCACGCTCGTCCTCGCCTCCTCGCCTCCTCGCCGGGCAGTGGGGCGCAGTGGCTCTCTCCCCCTTCCCAAGACAGGGAAGAAGTTCTGGAAGAAGCGTGGGTTCGAGGCGGAGAGGAAAAGCGGACCCACCTGCCGGACTGCCAGGCGGAGGCTGGTCCCGGGCTGGGGAGGTGGTCAGGCCTCGCACCCTCGAGGCACCGGGCGGCGCTGGCTGTGCGGAGGGGCGCCGGCGCGGCGGTATTTGTACCCGCGGCCCCTCACATGGTCCGATCTTTAGATAGCCGCCGCCAAAGAGCTCTTGAAGAATTTTTGCGTCACTTTGAGGCGAGTAAACTTAATGCTTCCCCGCGGCCGCGGCTCGGCGCTCCAGCTGAATGGATGGGGGTGCGCTCGCCCGGGAGGGGCCGCGCTGCGGGGCGGGGTGCGCGCCGGATCCCAGCGCGGGGAGGGGAGGGACCCCCGATACACACAAGCTCGCAGGCAGGAGCGGAGCGCGGAGCATTCGGCAGGGCAGGGCCAGCGAGGAATCCTGACTTTCCTGCTCTTTAACTTTGAGGGAAGGGGGAGGCTACACAAAGGGGCGGGTATGCGCCTCCCCTGCCGGCACCCTTCTTGGACCGCGTGTAGGGTTCTGCTTGTGGAGCTTCCTCCCAGCCATCTCTCTTGACCCCTGACACCTCCCCATGGCCCCATCCTGAAACCTGCTCTCCCTTTCTTCCTGGGACGTAACAACACGTGGTACCCACGGGTTTCTCTGACTGCCCCGCTGGGATGTGAGCTCGGCGTAGAGGCCCTTGTGTAATTCCTCTCCGTCCCCAGAGCCTCACAATAAATACTTGCAGAATGAAGGAATGAAGAACTGGTTCTCATTTTTTAACCAGCTACAGTTCAAAGCAGCGTCAAAACAGAGCACAGTGCTTTGGGAGGCTGAGGCGAGAGGATCGCTTGAGCCCAGGAGTTCAAGACCAGCCTGGGCAACACAGCAAGACCCCATCTCTTAGAATTTTTTTTTAATTAGCTGGGTGTGGTTGCCCGCGCTGTAGTCCCAGCTACTACTCAGGAGGCTGAGGTGGGAGGATCAGCTGAGCCCGGGAGGTCGAAGCTGCAGTGAGCCGTGGCACTCCAGCCTGAGTGACAGTTTGAATTATCTGAAAGGGCCCAAGAGGAGCCTACTGTTTTGAACCACGTGCATGTTGTTTTGATACTTTTTTCAAAAAGTTTAAAAATTGATTTAATGTTAATATCCTTTTGCTAAAATTATTTAAAACTTTTAAAAGAGCACATGCAGTACTTGCTTTGGGTTGTCCCTGAGGCGGAGAGGAGAGGGCTCCTCTACCTCTCCCCAAGAGGAGGCCAAGAACCATAGGAAGTAGAAGACAGAAAGAAAAAAGCAATGACAAGTCTGCAGCTCCAGGGAAGCCACAGCCCCTTTTACTTGGAGGAACTGACCCCTGAAAACTGTGCAGCCGGTTGGGCTCAGCATATAGAGGGACGGAGCTGGACAACCATGGGCAGGCGAGGGCGGCTCCCAGCGGGAGGAGTCAGCACGGGATTCTAGTGCCACCTAGACGCCAGGGCGGGGACCGCAAGGTGGGCGGGAGGCTTGGAGCCTGGGATGCAGGGGGATACTGGGAGGGTGCGAGGGGAATGCTGGAGGGGTGCGGGGGGGATGCCAGGGGTGCAGTGGGGATACTGGGAGGGTGCACCCCAGTATCAACATCCACTGGCAGGTGGATGTTGAGAGGGTGCAAGGGGATGCTGGGAGAGGTATAGGGGAGATCTGGGGGGCACAAGGGGAATGCTGGAGGGGTGCAGGGGTGACGTCTAGGGGCAAGGGAGATGCTGGAGGGGTGCAGGGGGATGCTGGGAGGGGTTACGGGGGGGATGCTGGGAGAGGTATAAGGGAGATTCTGGGGGGCACAAGGGGAATGCTGGAGGGGTGCAGGGGCGACGTCTGGGGCAAGGGAGATGCTGGAGGGGTGCAGGGGAATGCTGGGAGGGGTTCCGGGGGGAGGGAGGTTGCTGGGAGGGTGCAGGGGGGATGCTGGGAGGGGTGCAGAGGGGTGGGAGGATGCAGGGGGGATGCTGGGAGGGGTGCAGGGGGATGCTGGGAGGATGCAGGGGGGACGAAGGGAGGGGTGAAGGGGGATGCTGGGAGGGTGCAGGGCGAATGCTGGGAGGGGTGCAGAGGGGAGGAGGGATGCTGGGAGGGTGCAGGGGGAATGCTGGGAGGGGTGCAGAGGGAATGATGGGAGAGTTGCAGGGGAGATGCTGGGAGGGTGCGGGGGGTGGGGGGTGAAGGGAAGAGTGCAGCAGGGACGTTAGGAGGGTTAGGTGCTGCTGGCATTCAGAGTAGCAATGCCTAGTGGGGATTCCCCAACAAGCTTGGGAATTTTATTCTGGGGGCAGCGACTGCATGGGGGTGGGGGCTCCTCCTTTCAGATGAACACGGTTGTCTGCTGCCTCCAATGTTCCACTTAAGTGAACATGTTTGTGCTGTATAGGCAAGGGCAACAAAAAACATAAGGTTCCCTTTCCAGGAGAGCAGAGGAGCGGGGCAGAGGTGCTAGGCAGAGGCATCAAAGTGGAGGATGGCAGCAGGGGTGACTTCAGCGCTTGGCCACCAAGGCCCTCGTCTCCACCCGGTCCATCCAGTGTGACTTCTTAACACTTCCTAACCGTGCAGTCTCATGAACGTGACCTCACCACTCCTGGCCTTTCTTTTAGACTCGTTCTAGCTGAACATCCATTCCTGCCCAGCGCCCAGCCCCTCAATATGGCACTGCCTGCTCCAGGCTGGGCGCTGCCTAGAGAGTGGGCCCCCTGTGGACCTGAGTTAAATCCCAGCTCCCACCCTGTATTGTCGTGTGGGCTTGGCTGAGCTCCTTAACCTCAAGCTGTCTGGTCTTTGTGCCTCTGTCTGTGAAGTAGGGAGGATGATCTCAGTGGGCACTGCTCAGCTGTGGGTGGTGAAGGGGCCAACTCCTTGCAGGCCCTTCCCCCAAGGGGAGATCCATCTCTCTGGCCGGGTGGTTCCGTCTCCTCCCCTCTTGGCACTATTAGCAAGAGACATTAGAATTACACAGACAGCCTCCCTCTGGTTCCCCCCCCACCCCGCCCCCATTCCCCTGCCTCCCTGGTTCCCCCATTCCCCCTGGTTTCCCCTGCCTCCCTGGCAGAGTCGGAACACAACTGGTCCAGACTGTCCCCCTCTCTCTAAAGAGATGTTTCTCTTCCTCCTGCCCTGAGCACCATCCCACAGAGAGGACAGGTCCACCTGCAGGTCCTCACCTCCACAGAACCAGCCCCTCTTCCCCTGACCTCCAGCAGCCCCACTGTGTCCTGCTTCTGACACTCTTCGCCTCCAGTGCCCTGTCATTCCCTGGCCTCCCACTCCCTCTCTTGGGAGGATCCTCTGACCCTGTGCCCTGTTCCCCTGCCTGGGCCTGGGGGTCACTCAACTGCCCCTCCCGACCTTCAGTTCAGGTGGACAGGCTTCAGTGTCTACCACCAGGAAGGAGAAGCCCCGCACCTGTGCCTGCCCTCCCTCTGGGCCACTCCTTTGTGACATGAGCCTGACCGCATAAGAAGGCACAGCCTCTGCCCCAGAGACCTGGGGAGGCTGGGAGGTGCTGTCCTGGGCATGGAAGGCAGGAGGGAGCCCTGGGCATGGCAGGAAGGAAGCAAGAGTTTGGGGGTGGGGAGTGGGAGAGGATCTAAAGGCTGTGACCAGCATGGGCTGCAGGTAACAGTGGGGGAGTGTCAGGTGGTTGGGGACTGAGGAGTTCCTTAGAATGTGAATGCAGGTGTCAGCAGGTGGCTGCAGGGAAGGAAGGTGAGCCGGAAACCCAGCGGCACCGCAAAGCTTGGTGCTGGTGGTGTATGGGGACAGCCATGGAGATGGCAAGAGCAACAGGTCCTGGGCAGCTGGGAAGAAGCTGCCAAGGAATCACCGCAGAGCAATACTTTTTTTTTGTTCACCTGCTTGAGCCCAAATATAATGGGGCTTAGAACCTGCTCTGGAGCTCAGAATAAACACAGGCTTTCGCTTTGAAGGGTAAGGAGCATGTAAATATTTACACCTGCCCCAAATACCACCCAGAAGACCCACTTCCGGGAAGTCTCAAAGGCCAGCAATGAGTCCCCTCTGGAGCCAGCCAGGACAAGCCATGGAATCCCAGGCTCTCCCTCCGGAAGCCCTCGGTGCCATCTGTCTGTCCAGCCTCTGCCCTGTTTATACAATACCGGAAGAAGGAGGCCCAACCCTCCTTGTGGGCTTTTCCTCAGGCCCAGGAAAATGCTGACAGTATTCAGTCCTTAGAGTGTCGTCTTGCTCCATCCCCAGCAGCGCTTCCCGGACACCCCGGTTTGTCGTGGGACCTGGCATGGTTTTGGTGACTCTGTGTTCATGTTCAGTGGCACCTCCAAGGCAGGATTTGCTTCCACCATGGACCATCAATGTCAGTTTTGGTTGCTACCCTTGTTTACCTCACTGTGTATTCAGACTTCATGGATAATTTTTTCTAAAAGAGGGGAAAAGGTGGGAGTGGCTGATATGGAAAGGCCCAGTTTGAAGGATACTCACACATGAGGAGAAATCAGGGTGTAGGGGACACCCCAGACTTTACAGATATTGTGACTACCCCACACTCTATCTGCGATCTCTGTGAGCCAGGATTTATGATTTCTCCTTCCTCCCTAGGGGACTCCCTTCCCTGACTCCATCAGCCAGGGCCATGCTCTGGAGGGCACCCTTCCACCTTGGTGGAGATGTTGACACCAGAAGCACAGAGAACCAGGGAGGGCCCCATGGCCCTGGACACACACAGAGCTGTTGGAGCACATTGGTCCCTCTCTGAATTTCCCAGGCTCTGGGTTCCCAAGGGACAGGGTGCTTCCTCTCTCCACGCCTCAACACCTACCACTCTGTGGGCTAACAGCAGACTCCATAAATGTACACACGGGCATTGAATGGTTAGGAAATGCCTCTGAGTCTTACCAGATTTAGTGCCGTAACACCAGGGACCCAGTGGCGTATCCACCAATGGAGTACCATGTAGCAGGTAAAAAGAGTAAGGCAGTTGTCTATGGGCTGATCTGGGGAAGTTCTCAAGATTTATTGTAAATGGAGGAAAGATGCATAGAACAGGCGCTTCTCCAATGTGTTGGGGGCAAGGCGTGGGGACTGATATGTGTATTGAAATCTGTGAGCGCACACAAGAAACTGGGAACAGTAGGTACCTTGGAGGGAGAGGACACTAGGGTGGA